CCCTTATTTATTTTGAGAGAGAGAGAGAGGGAGAGCGCTCGCCCGTGCACGAGTGGAGGAGGGGCAGAGAGCGAAGGAGAGAGAATTCCAAGTAGGTCCCCGCCGTCAGTGCAGAACCCCACGAGGGGCTTTATCTCATCAACAGTCAGATCATGACCTGAGCCAAAATCCAGAGTCAGACACTCAACCGACTGAGCCACCCAGTCGCCCCCAGATGCTGTTATTATACACACTTTACAGATGGGGAAACTGAGGCATGGGGTATGGAATCCCTTTCCGAGTGTCACCCAGTGTCAGTGGCAGAGCAGAATTTGACCCCAGGCCCCTGCCCCTAATGCCATCGCGCTAAGTCAAGGTTCCTCAACCCCGGCACTGTGGACAACAGGGCTGGATAATTCTTCCCGGCCAGAGTCTCTCCTGGGCCTTACCGTAATTGAGGCGGCATCTCCGGCCTCTACCTACCAGATGCCAGTAGCACCCCCTTAGTCTTGACAAACAGCAACGTCTCCGGACATTGCCAAATGTCCCAGCAGGGAGACGGGAGAGGGAAGGCAGATCTTTCCTGTTTGAGAACCACTGGTCTAAACCAATAGGCTAAAATACATAAAACGAGCCCACAATTAGCTCCTGGTATAATCCTAAATGCACTGGGTCTGTTCACTCCTGCCTCACAACAGCCTTCCGACGTGGGGTCTGTACGCGGCACAGAGAGGTGACGCCGCCCGCCTGGCCTTACACAGCACGAGGGCGACGCAGCCAGGATTCGAACACGCAGATTCCGGGATCCTGCCCACGCTGAGCGGCCCGGGGCGGGCCCCGGGTCTCTGCGGCGCAAGGCGGGGAAAGCGCGCCTCGGCGGAGCAGGCGGCTGGCGCCCCCTGGCGGCCCGGGAGGGGCGAGGGCGGGAGCGGGGCCCGGCGGGATCCGGCCGGCGGTGACGCGAAGCGCTGACTCACTCGGCTCCGCCCCGCCCCGGCCCTCGGCCGTTTGGCCATTTATAGAATCCGCGGGGCCTCTGAAGTCACTGCCCAGGCACGACGGGGGCGGAGTGGGGGAGCTCTTGGCGCGTCCCCAGACGGGGCAGCCCGGGGTCTCCCTAGGGGGCGACCCTCTCTGGCTCTGCCCTGTCCCTCCGATTCTAGTCCGTGTCGGTGTCTCTTTCTCTGTCTCTAGGTCCCTCTCTACCTCGCCCAGTCTTTTTATGTCTTTGTCTCCGAATCTGCCAGCCTCACTGTCTCTCTCTGTCTGTTCCCCTGTCTCTCCATCTCTGGGTCTCTGTTTCACCTTTCTAGGTCACTGTTTCTCTCACTCCATGTCTCTGTCGTTTCTGTCCTTCCCTGAGTCTCTTGTCTGCTTGAAGGGGTTTAGGTGGAGGGAGGGGGCTGATCCCGTCCGGAGGCCCCCGCCCCA